ACTACCAAAGTTACATTATCTATTGTGCATTTTAATCTTCGTTCATAATCCAATATTTTATTGCGTACTGTTACGAATTCAACCATCACTTGACCTGACCTTCGAATGACTGTTTTACCCTCGACCAAATCCCATTGACAACGCCAATGGGAATGCACCACTGCACCCTTGCAGCTTGTTTGGATGGTTGTTACGTATCGTTTCATAATGTATCGTATCGTATTATATTGTATTGTACTGTATAGTTTGATGAATACAATGTTTGAATGGATTGTGCCGTTTTGGCGTCGTTTCATGGTATCACGCACCTATGAATAAACTTACAATATTATAAAGAAAAATTATGATACGGTATATAAAAATATAGAGTAAATGCTAAAATAAAATTATTTAATAATAATGAAGGGTGGGATTGAGAGAAAAACACAAGGAAACGACGCGACCACACCAAATCGGTCGTTATATAAAATGACACATTTCATCGTTACGTAACGACGGATTTAACAATACGATACAATAAAATTTAAGTGACAATCAAAACAAACACTGTATTTAAAGTAACAATACGATACGATACAATTGGTAACAACCATCCAAACAAGCTGTTAGCAAGAAGCAAGTCAACCGGGTAAAGTAAACTAGTAGAGTAATTAGAACTCAATCGATACGCATACAGGTGGCGGATCCGAGAGAGACGAAAACGGAAATAAAGAAAAAAAGAAGAGAGAGAAAGGGAGAGTGTGAGATCTAGGAAGAGAGAGAGAGAGAGAGAGAGAGATTGAGAGGGAGCTGACCCATAACTCAGGCAGTTGATCCGAAAAGAGATGGGGTGCTCGTTCTCGGGGTTGAATGCTTTATACGACGCCGTTAATGGTGGTGGGGATGTTTGGATCAATGAGAATCGCTTCAGAATCGTGAGACAGCTCGGGGAGGGCGGCTTCGCTTACGTTTTCCTCGTGAAGGAGGTCATCTCTGACACTTCTAACCCTGGCCTTTCAAACAAATTCAAGGACTCTTCTCACCTCTCCGGTACGCACACACACACACACACACACACTATTTTTATAGCTAAAAATTCATACTTTACTTGTGGTCTGACAATTGGGTCAGCTTAGTGCATAATGGGTTTTGTTCCTTTTCTCCAATTGTATGCGATTTGCTTTGGTTTTCGTTACTAATAGTTACTACTGCAAGTCAATATCAATTGCTAATATGATCTTTCCACACGTTGTTATGGTTGCACTCGGCGATGAGGAACTGGGGTTGAGGTGATTGCTCTAATTTGCTCTGTACCCCAACCTCCATGCTTTTCTATTTCTTGAATCAGTGTGTGTGTGTGTGTGTGTGTGTGTGTGTGTGTGTAGGTTGATCATCTTCAAATTTGGATTTTTGTTTTTTGATTCACTGACGTTTGTGTGGTCTAGATATCTAAAAAAATGATGTTAGAGTGGTTTGGCAAATATTGCTCAAATTCTCTATTTACTAGAGGCTCATTTTACTCCAAAATGTGCTTCTTCCCTGTGTACCTGTAGTTATATTGATTGCTGCATTGACCTGACCTAAATTCTGTAGGTTTTGTAGATATTCCTCTCTACCCCAACTTTTCCATTCAGAGAAGAAGTAAAATACCAAGAAAAATGAACTCTATTATACATGTTTTTAAGCATCAGGAATGAAAATTAGGAGCTTTTGGGTTTCTTGTTCTTTCTCTGATTGGCTTTCTTTCCTAATGATATTTTCACTAGAAGTAGTTCTTCAACTCCTTTTAGCAGTTAGTAGGTCAGACTTCGGTGGTTATTGGCCCAGTTTACTCTGATTCATGAAATCTTTCTCTTTGGAAAGGGAAGTGCAAAGATTAAGCTTTGTCTTTGAACCTTGGTGTGCAATTGTATCCATGTTCTTTTATTCTGTAACAAAACAATTGAAAAACTCTCTTAGTGTGCAGATGATGGAACTTATGCTATGAAGAAGGTTCTTATTCAGAGCGCTGAACAATTGGAGTTGGTGAAAGAGGAGATTCGTGTTTCATCTTTATTTACTCATCGCAATCTGCTTCCTCTCCTTGATCATGCTATCATCGCAGTCAAGGTAATTTTTGCAGGCACCTTGCGCCCCACCCTCGACCCCCAAAAAAAGAAACCAGCTCTGTATTCTGATCTCTTTTGTTAGTAATACACTGATGTCCATGTCAAGACTTTGTGTGAACAAGAAGGCTTTGCACAATTAGGTGGTGGAAAAATTAAATTGAGTGTGTAGTATCATCCATGATAGATTAGCTTATGCCGTTCTAGGAACTCTTAGATGTACTCCGAGGAGCTGAATTCCCTAAAGATGTACTGCTCACTCTTCAGTCTTAAAATGATGGTTGAATTCTAAATAATACAAAATTCTAACGATCATGTGGAGTGTCAAACAAGTTTTCTCTGTAGTACTTTTCTTTGAGAACCCAGCTCTTTATAGCTGTACTCCACACTATATGCCTGCTGATATGTGTATTCCTTGTACCCTTTCCTCTACTACATGTTCAATTTTCATCATATTCTATATAAATATCTTACTCTGTTGGATAGGCTGCGCCAGATCAGTCCTGGAAGCATGAAGCTTACTTGTTGTTCCCGGTACATTTGGATGGGACATTACTGGATAATGCCACAGCCATGAAAGCTAAGAAAGAATTCTTTTCCACTTCGGATGTTCTTCAAATATTTCGTCAGGTGAACTAAGGATCTGTACTTTTGCAAATGTGCATTTTATTTGTGAGCATATAAGAGGAGGACATCATCAATTTTGGAGCCTAGAATGTATTTTAAGAAACATTATTATGCAGCTTTGTGCAGGACTCAAGCATATGCATAGCTTTGATCCTCCTTATGCACATAATGATGTCAAACCTGGTAATGTCCTTTTAACTCATAGGAAAGGACAGCCACCTCTTGCAGTATTAATGGATTTTGGAAGTACACGTCCTGCAAGAAGGCAAATCCGCTCTCGTTCAGAGGCCTTGCAGCTGCAGGTACTTTCATTTCGTTTTTTAAACTTATACATATTTTCTGCTGTTTATATGCCTGTAAATTTCTAATAGGTTCCTTCTTTTGAACAAGTTTGGGCTGAATGTTTTCACCAATACTGCTACCTTTATATGCAAATTGCAAGTAGTAGTTAATTCATGTTGTGTTCTTGGTTGACACCCATTTCTTACATATTATACCTTAACTCATTCTGTTGCATTTTCCTTAATGTGCTGTCTTTTGTGGTGCTGATAATGTAGGAATGGGCATCTGAGCACGTTTCCGCACCCTTCCGAGCACCTGAATTATGGGATTGCCCAAGCCAATGTGATATTGACGAAAGAACTGATATCTGGTCATTAGGTTGTACATTATATGCGATAATGTAAGAATCCTCTCAACTCTTTCTAATACCCGAAGCTCTCTCCGTGCAAGAGAGAGTGAAATCCTATGTCCCGTACACAGCTGATAGTTGCAACAAGATTGTCCAAAAATTGGCTCAACTATTCTATTTGTTGCACCTGCTGCACATGTACGTAGCATTAGTAGTTTGGTGCTTGTACTACGTTGCAGTCTTGTGCAAATGGCTCTTCTTTCGAGCTGGTATCCCAAAGTAGCATCAATGGGAAAATCAGATATTAAATGCTAACGAGTTTTGTTAAATAATTGTGGTTGGTCTTACCCTGCAAATAGCGCTCCCTACTTTTTACACTACGACTGCTTTATCATGCCATTATTTCTCATCATGGTAGATACCAAGTTCAGTTTTCATGCCCTTTTTTTAGACGAAGTATTGAATTGTTTCCTACCTTTGGCATTTCAAAGGATAGAGATATCTCTTGACCATGAAAGTGGTTTCTATGCGGTGTGTATATGAATAAGAAGTAACCAATCTTTTCATCATCTCTATTGCAGGTATGGAGTATCTCCCTTTGAGTATGCACTTGGGGAATCTGGTGGAAGTCTGCAGTTGGCTATTGTAAATGCACAGATAAAATGGCCAGCCGGGCCTAAACCTCCATATCCGGAAGCCCTTCACCAATTTGTGACATGGATGCTTCAACCTCAGGGGACAGTTCGACCTCGCATAGATGATATCATAATTCATGTTGACAAATTGATCTCAAAGTTTTCCCATTGAATGGATAGGACAAGATTTGTTGGGTTAGTTTACAGATGAATATCTTATAACGTCTTTTAGCTTATTACATAACTTACTGCAAGTTACTATTCTTGACTTTTCCCTGTTAAAATGTGAGAGAAACAGCAATTGTTTGCTATTGTTTGGATTGCATTCCATGGCAAGAGGCTTTAGCAGTCATACGTTTTTATTTATAATTGTTGAATGGTGAATTATTTCACTCTATAGTTCTTACGCCAAAAGAATCTTTTGCCTTACATGGCCAGGTTGCATTTGTTTTTGCCAGCCTTTTCCTCTGCCGCGCCGTCCTTTATGCTATTCTCGTTACTGAAATCTCAGCTATCTGTGGTGCCTATTTTTCCAGAATCTTTTTTCGACGACCACGCACTGGTATACCTTTATCATGATTGGCAAAACTCTTTTTACGTTTCCAAAGATCTGTCCTGCGTAATGACGTAAATATTGCTTTCAATGGCTTTGTTGAAGTACTTCGCTACATTCGTTGTTCGACATTCATATTTATATCTGGGAGCAAAATTCATGTATATTGTTTTCTTAAATTTTCTTATACCCCTCTTCTTTTTTGGATGAGTTGCTGAAAGATGCAGTTAATTTAGCCGTTTAAGGTTGAAACAGTTGAAGGGCAGCCCGGTGCACTAAACTCTATGCGCTGGGTTCAGGAAAGGGCCCAACTACAAGGGGTCTATTGTATGCACCCTTACCTTGCATTTCTGCAAGAGACTGTTTCCACAGCTCAAATCCAAGCTCAAATCCATGACCTACATGGCAGCAACTTTACCAGTTACACTAAGGCTCCCCTCCTATTTACGGGGGGAAACAGTTGAAACAAATTAAATTGAAAGTTCATCCGAAGAGCTCATAATTCCAATAATGAAACTCGTTTTATACATATAGGCAAAATACACATTATTGGAACTCCGAATAAAGGGTTTGGCCGTAATTTTCCTAGTTTAATTGTTCATCAACATCAATTAATGGTGCCCCCAAGACAATACCTTTCAGCGACGCCTATAATGCCTCGAACCTTTGCTGAATCATAATCCATGTTTTTTTTTAATAAATCTTATTTAATGAAGGATTAGTCTTTGTGCTCATCATCGGATTCAGAATCTGCAAATCATTTAAAAAAAAAATGCAGTGTAAGATCACAAGCTATCATGTTGGAAGTATACATGATAAATGAAGCAAAGGTTATTTACCTGATCGGACATCATCAGTTATGTGGCCTTTTGTTATGAGATCGTTAACCATCCGTAATATGAGTCTCATCCAAAAGATGTGAAGAACAAGCAAGCACACCAGCAGTGAATTGAACAAAAAGTAAAGTATGGTTCCTTCAGTCCGGTGCTTCTCTGTGTCCACTATGAAAAGAATTTCGTAGCTGCAGAGTAAAAAAAAAATGCTGATTTCATGGTATGGTACAGAGAAAATGAACTAACAGAAAACAACAAGCTCAATTATAAATAAACTTTGGGCTAATTTCCTTTACTGCTATATAAAGGGATTTTTTCCTAACTATACCATATATGAAACCTTATTACCCTAAATGTGCATAGTTTGTTAATTACCCGATCAGTCCACACTTCAACTACAATTTATATACCATTCGACTATTAGGCATTAAAAGGGCAGAATATTCCCTAAAAAACGCGCTAAAATTAAGGAGAGAATCTTGGTGTTAATTGATTCTACATTAAATTCAATTTTTAAAAAGGAAAGGGAAATTTCTCATCTGCGTATTTTTCTCCAGAACTACAATTCAAATTCTCGAAAAAAAAAAGAACGAACAATTCAAATTTTCGAGTTTCAACAACTCAAAGTTGAAAAAATTTGTTCTTCCATATATTTTCCACCATTGATAGCCATTAAAAAGCTTGAAAGCTTTGAATTCAAATTTGGGTTTCCAAAAATCATTATTTGTTTGGATTGGGTGTTGTTGTAAATAATTTGGAATATGTTTAGGAGTTTATATCTCAATTTTGAGGGGTTTTGGTGAAGATTAGACTTGGTTTTGACTGAATTTCAGATTGAAACTCGAAGAAGAAGAAGACATATTTCCAGAAATTGTAGATAAATTATAGATAAATTGTAGAATTGTAGATAAATTGTAGATTGGGAAGACTAAAACTTCTACAAATCTTCTACAATTATGTCGAAAATGCCAATTATGCTACAATTGAAATGAGAATCGGGATATTAAAATTCAATGTATCCAGTTTGTAGATATCTTGTAGATAAATTGTAGATTATTTGTATTCTGATTGTAGATGCATTGTTTTCTGTTTTCACAAATCCAAAACGACTAAAGCTTCTACAAAATCTTCTTACAAAAAACAGTCTACAATATATCTACAATTTTTCTAATTTTTCTACAATTTATCTACAAATTCTAAAAATATGTCGTCTTCTTCTTCTTCGAGTTTCCAACTGGAAATATGCCTCCTCCGGCTTCCAACTCTATTTGAGCAACCGGAGAAAGTCCATCCGAAATGCAATTTAATTTTTCTGTATCAATACAATACCACAAATGCTTCTTACCACTGTCACCGTGGACATATAGTGTTGCCATTGAAATTGGATACAAACAAAATACTCCTCTGTCCGTCAATTGCAAAGAAATTGAAACAGGTCACTCTTTAGGTCTAGGGTTTTCAAATGTCCGATTTTTCGGTCTTTAGAATCAGGGGTCCTATAATTATGCCTAATATAAATACACCCTAAATTATATCCCTGATTTGAATTATGGTATATAAATGGTAATTTGGTATACTGAAATGTAATTAACTCAAACCTTAAACATTGAGGGTAATAAGGTTTCATATGTGGTATAAGAAGGTAAAAAATCCCTATGTAAATACTAGTCCAGGGCGGATCTAGTAAGGTCCGATGGGGTGGTACGCCACCAGGAAGCTTCGGTCGAAACTCTGTGTATATATGTATATATTACAAGAAATTGTGTATATATTTAAAGCTCCACTTGGAGTAATAGATGATACAAAGGTGCCAATGGCAAAGGGCAGGAGATTCCACCTAGGTTGTGAAGGATTGAACTCCACTGGCAACAGTTTTTAACCTTTTGGCCGGCTACATCACGTTAAGCTTTCAATCATTTTATATATTTCGTTCTCTTTTTTCTTCTTTTGTAATTATTGTTAACTATCTTACTTTATTTGTTTACTTTTGACTTTCTTTTTGTGTCTCTTATTAGTTAAATATTTGTTTTTTTTCACACAAAGTTAAAATAATATTTTCTTTTGTAAATCTTCACTCTATCATAACTATAGTACTATATTTTTCTGTTCAATCGATTTATATTGTATACCAAAAAAATAAGTAACCGAAACCAAAGTCCAAAGTTGCTCAAACCTACAAAATATATACTCTATCTCAATGTACAAAATAGTGGCACATGGACATTCACAGCATCCGGAAGCTCTAAAATTCTAGATCCGCCTTTGAATACCACTTCCTGTACTTCGGAGTAGTATGACACATAAATTGGGACAGAGGAAGTAGTATGTTACTCCCTCCGGTCCACAATAAGTGACCAATTTGCTTTTTTATTTTGGTCCAAAATAAGTGTCCATTTATATAACCAAGAAAAAATTCAATTTGTCTTTCCAAAATTACCCTTATGTATGTATCCCTAAAAAGTTATTTACTC